CAGAGTTAAGAGAAGCCGTGGGCACGCGGCTCTGCCCGCCTTCTTTCCTACCTGACAAGACGCCACGGCCCCCAGGGAGGCAGCCCCGCCTCCTGTGCCAGTTGTCTCCCTTCCTCTCCAAGTTCCTAATGACGCCCCCAGCCGAGGCCTGTGCCCTTTCCAGCCACGATGACTCTCAGCATATGGGCACCTCCTTTTCTGTTTCATTCCAGCTACTGTATCCCCACGCGCTTGCGAGCACCACCTGCCCACCCCTAGTCTAGCCAGTGCCCGTCGCGCTTCCATCAGAGCCACGTCACGAGAAAGACGGCAGCAACAACGACGAATGACGCAGAACACCTCCCACTGTGCGCACCTGCCGGTGCTCCCAGCTCCCAGGCACCCCCTCCGCTTCCTGAGGCAGGGGTCGTGCTTCCCCTCCCGTAGGTGACACGCTGAAGCTCAGGGCGGGAGGGAGCAGCCCAGCAGGCATCAGCCCCAAGGCACCCGAGCTGGATGGAAACCAAGGTTGCCCGTCTCCCAGCACATCCTGGTCCCCTCGCGCACTGGAGGCTGAGCGTGAGGAGAAAGGCCGTTAGGAATAAGGCCAGTGGTGGCCCGTTTTCAAGGCCAGGCATGTAACCCCGAGTGGAAAATCGCTGGTCGCCTGCTGTCATAGTGGCCCGCGGGCAGGACAAAGCTCATGCGCCTGGGGAGTCCGGGCAAGGCTGCTGGGCAGGGGCCGAGTGACAAAGGAACTGAAACTGGGAGGGGAAGGAAGAGGCCCTGTAAGGAAATGATGGGACGCAGGGGGCCTCTGGGAAGGCTGTACACCCCACAGCGCTCAGCCAGTGAGGAGCCGGGAGGGACCTGCGCGCTGGGGAGTAACGTGCTGGGTGTTGCGGCTCTGGGCGGCCCGCCCACCAGGCACCGATGTGGCGAGGCCGACATTCAGCACCTCGCTTCTGCTGTGCTGTCTCCGTGTCCACGCTTGTAAATTTTGGACCGGTGAGTGGGTGTCTCACAGACCCTCACTGGACTTCGGGGAGCAGGGAGGGGAGGAGCTCAGCCCCTCTACAGAGGAGGAAACTGAGGCCCAGGGAGGGGATCGTGTCCGCAGTCACACGCCAAGTGACATCCGTGCAGCCGGCTCCTGCGTCAGTGCTCTCGCTGCTGCCCATCTTCATACTCTGTGTGCACGCACTTTCTGGCTGCGCCTCTGAGCTCAGAAACGGGGCGTCCTGGGGGAGGTTGGGGGGGCGGGGGGCGGTGTGGAGCGCGGGAGGGACGGCGGCGGCGGCACGTCCTGTGCTTTGTGGTTCATTTCCGTCCACGCGCTCCCTGGGCTTCCTATGACTGTTAAGTGGACAGCAGTTTGGAGCTGTACCAGCCCCTTATTAGCCTGTGCTATTCCGGAGAGGTGGCACGGGGTATTTGAAAAGACACAGCAGGTCAAGAACTTTTCATTAAAAAAAAAAAAAAATCAGTCGAGAAAAATAATTGAATCCGAACGTCTGTCCCAGATTTGGGCTGGGCACCAAACAGGCTTTTCACCGAATGTGGAAGTGCTCCATGCAGGCCAAGCCCTCTGGCACGGGCTGAGTGTGCGCCTCCTGGGGTCTGGCCTGGCCTTGCAGAGGGGCCGGACCCAAGGCCACCGGGCACCAGGCAGCGCCTTCAGCTGCAATGTATCTGACGTACGGACTTGTCTCTTCCAGGGGACGGGAGCTCCTGGCGTTGGCCCATCAGGTCTGGGCGTGAGCTGACGCTCTGTCATACACGCTTCCTGTCTTTGTTTCTGTAAGATGACTGTCACAGCTCTGGGTGTCCATGCCATGTGCAAGCACAAAAGAAGGAGCAGGGGGGAAAGGGGTCTCCATCAATCCTTGCTTCTCCCTCCTCCCAGCCTCAGCTGTGTCCTCACACTGGCTTCTCTTGTGCTAGCAAAACAACGCCACCACCACCCTCCCCCCCAGCACGAGGCCTCACCCCCACCCTGCTCTTAAACTGTTGGCTCTGTTGATGCTTCTTTCTAAGATGAATTAAAAGTTCCTCCCAAGCGGGGCTACTCTCTGCTTCCCAAACACACCACTCTGCTACTTCCTGGTTGTATCGGTTAGCTATTGCTGCGTAACGAGCTGCTCCAACATGCAGTGGCCTAAATCCACCAGCACAGATGGTTGCTCACAGGTCTTCAGGATAGTCGTGTGGCTCTTCCATTCAGGACCGGGCCCGGCTGGCCTTGGCTGAGCTTGCCAGTGGGGAGCTGGTCTAGAATAGTTTGCATGGGATGAATGAATTCTTTTATGTGCTTCTCACATCCCTCCAACAGGTTAGCTAGAACCTGTTTCCGTGGTGATGGTGGGGGTCTTACAAGCCCAAACATGTAAGAGGACAAGTAAAGCCATGTCCTTGCCATCGAGCCTCTGCTTACATCATATCACATTGGCCAAAGCAGGTCACGTGGCCAAAGTCCAGAGTGTGTGTGGAAGGGGGCTGCAGAATTGCAGGCAAAGAGTAGGTGCAGGAGGCCAGTGACTGAGGTAACTGGTGCGGCTGCCGCTGGGTGGAGGACCTTGGGAGGGTAACTTAACTCCACTGTGCTTCAATTTCCTGGACTGAAATTTTTTGCTGCTGTGTCAAGTAAAGTGGAGTAATGCCAGTGCTGCCTCGTAGGGTCAATGTGTCGTTACGTGTAAAGTGCCTGCCTTTCCTCTCTCTCTCTGGGCTGGCACTGACTCATCCCTCAGGTCTCAGGTGTTGGGTTGACGGAGGGAGGGCAGGGGGCGATGGAGATGATCACTGGACCAGCAGTTCAGGATCCTGGTTCTAGATCAGCCGTGGGCAAACTACGGCCCTCGGGCCGGATTCGGCCCGTTTGAAATGAATAAAACTATTGAAAAAAAAGACCGTACCCTTTTATGTAATGATGTTTACTTTGAATTTATATTAGTTCACACAAACACTCCATCCATGCTTTTGTTCCGGCCCTCCGGTCCAGTTTAAGAACCCATTGTGGCCCTCAAGTCAAAAAGTTTGCCCACCCCTGTTCTAGATGCACCTCTGCCAATAACTCTCTGCCCTGCTCAACACTAGGGCCTCAGTCTCCTAGTCTGTAAAATGGGATTAACACCTCCTTGCGTCATCTCTGCTTGTCCTTGTTCAGTTCATTACTCAGTGCCCCCCACAGTCCATCTACACCCACATGAGCCATGAGCAGAGGAGCTATGAGGGCTCATCCATCGGGCCTCTGTCCTTGGCCTCCAGGTAGCTCCCTCGCCACATCCCAGCATATGGTGCCCCATTTTTGGGTTGAAAGTAACTGTATCAGTTTCTATTGCTACTGTAACAAATTACCACAGATTTAGTGGTTTAAAACGGCACAAATTCATTCTCCAACAGTTCGGGAGAGGGGTCCGGGAGGGTCAGAAGTCTGACAGGAGTCATTCTGGGCTAAAATCAAGCATTTATTTGGAGGGTTCAGGGGAGAATCTTTTCTTATCTTCAACTTCTGGGGCCATCCACATTGCTTGGCCTGTGGCCGCTTCCTTGCAACCTGCTTGGGTGAGGCAGGTTTTGGGGATGGACCGTGACCTACTGACTGTTGTGCCTGCAGCGGGTCCTTTATGGCAGCCAACGCTGCCCACTGCCCACGGAGTACCTCCTGCAGGCCAAGGGCTGCTCTCGCACCTTCCTCTGTTGCCATTTGATCTCCACGGCCTGTGGACAAGCCGTCTTATCCCTCGTTCACACATGAGAGAGAGAGACTCAGGGAGTGAGAGCCCCTCCCCAGGCCACGCAGACCCCTCCACGTGGCTGCAGACCCCACTCGTGGGCGTGGTCTGGCTGCAGTGCACAGCCCTTATGTTTCACTTGTTAGTCTCTGCAGGGGCAGTGTGGGAACCCTAACTGGAGGACACCGGACGATCCAGGCCAGTTTGCCTGACACACGCGTGCAGGCGAGGACGGAACCTGTGTGGAGAATGTAGCACGAGCGTCAGGACCCAGCACGAGGCCTCGTCTGTTTGCGTGTGTGCGCGTTGCCCCTGAGCATCCAGCTGGCGGGGCTGCTTTGAAGAGCTGCTCTGTCTTGATGGCTCCCGTAGTAGCAATGGCTACTCGGTCTACAGTGAAGTCTCTCCTGTAGGTGCCCACGGCTTCTCGTGTCTCCATCTAGTGCCCGGCTCCCCCACAGCCTGACACTCGGTAGCGTTTGCAGAGGGAACAGCGAATCACGTTATCATTGTAACCCTTGCATCATGGCACCTTTGGCCCGTGTTCTGTGGGTTCGGGGCAGGTCACAGGTCACACCCACACTCCAGGGGAGGGGGCTGTGAACGTGAGGGGTGGGGATCACTGGGCGCCCATTTAGAAGCTGCCTCCACACTTTACAATCTGGGTTTCAGCTCCATTGCCCTCTGCCTTTGCATATGCTGTTCCCCTGCCTGGAATTCCAGCCCTCCACCTGTTCTCAGCTGAGGTCTGTGCTTAGATGTTATTTCTTTTGGGCTCAGCAGCACCCAAATTGGTGCTGCTTTCTTCCATCATAACACGTATCACCCTGCAGTGGAATTTTTCTATTTCATTGTCAATCCACCCTTCCCTACCCCCTTCCTCCTCCCCCGCACCCCCCCCCCCCCCCCCGCCACACACACACACACCTGCCACCAAGGCCTAATGTAGAATCTACACAGGACCTGGCACATTGTGGATGCTGAATAAACACTTATGAGCGAATGAAGCAATGGGCTCTAGCATGTAACCCAGAATCCTGACTCCCAGGCCTGGTCCCTGCCCCCTGCCCAGGGCCGGCTGTTGGACACCCGCTCCCCGAGCCCCAGGCACCTCAGTAACCAGGCTTGTGCCCTATCTGAGTCCCCTGACCTTGAAATAACTTTCCCCTGAGTTCCCAGGTGCACTTTCCTGAAACCTCGCTGTTCCTGCCTCCTCCGCCCGCTGCCCTGTAATGAGTTCCGTGGCCCTGCCAGGACTTGGAAGCTCATGACTAAGCCGGGAGCTGCCCATACTCCCCCAGAGCGCCAGATGGGAAGCATCAGCCCTGTCTCCGCTGAGAGCTGCCATGGGAGAGGCTCCTGGAGCTGCTAGCGGCCAGGGGAGGATGCAAGGTGTGTGTCTGCAGGAGGAACTGCTTCCTGTGTTACCAGGGGACACCGGGTGTCCCTCGCAGACCCATGCCCAGAGGCAGGGGTGCTGTGCGCACAATGGTTGTGACCTTCTGTGCTACCTCTTCTCCTTGGGGTGGTTAGAGCCATGGAGGGGGGAGGAGGAGGGAAGGCTCTGGACTGTCCACCGGGAGGCGCGGGAGCCAGGACGGTGCTGGGCAGGGTGGAGGCCGTCCCTGTGGCTTGGGAGGAGGCCGGGAAGGCTGGCCGAGTGAGTGCTGGGCAGCTGTCCTTCCCCTTTCCGTCACACCCGCCTCCTTCTACCAGCCGTCCCACCAGCCCGTCCTCCCAGATGGTCCTCCTCACGCTCTTCCACCATGCGGATGCCGACCTGCGCTCTTGCCGGGGCGCCCACACCTCCCTGTGGCCTCTGCCTTCTGCTCGCAAATCCTCCCGCTCATTCTCCACACACAACCGGCCGAGCTGCTGAGCCCACAACCCACTCCTGCTTCTGCTTGGTCTCTTGGGCCCTTGGCGGCTCCTGTGGACTTGTCACCACCTCCTCCCCTTGATGCTCTCCTCCTCATGCTTGTCCCCTCCAACACCCCAGGCCCACCCGCCCTGCACAGCCTCCAGGAGCAGCTTCCAGCCACAGCTGCTTCTGGGCACGTCCGCTCAGTGCCCCTGCAGAGAGGTCCTCCGAGACCAGTGGTAGGCAAACTGTGACTCGCGAGCCACATGCGGCTCTTTGGCCCCTTGAGTGTGGCTCTTCCACAAAATTCCAAATTCTGCGCATGAGCCACAAAGTTTCAATCACACTGTACGTGCCCACACGTGGTATTTTGTGGAAGAGCCACACTCAAGGGGCCAAAGAGCCGCATGTGGCTCGCGAGCCGCAGTTTGCCAACCACTGCCCTAGACCACGTGGCCTCGTGTACCGGCGCCTCTGGTCCCCTGCCTGCTTTCTTTCCCGAACCCTGGCCACATGCAGAATTCCACCAGCTGCTTTCTGTCTATCACCCGCCATCCCCACTGGCATGGCATTGATGAGAGGAGAGAGAAAGGTGACTCTTCCTGCACCACTGGCCCCCCCAGGGCTGTGCCCAGCACAACGCAGGGGCCTGGCACATCTTTACGGAACGAATTAGGAAAGCAGGTGATGGGAGGCCGAGGAGGGGGACCAGGAAAGAAGTCAATTTGGCACCTCAGGGGGTGGACGAGGACACTATCTCTCCGAGATCCAGTAACAATCCTATATAATAAAAGGGTGATATGCAAATTGACCGAACGGCAGAACAACCAGAACACCTGCAGCCCCTCACCCCAGCTGGCCCCGCCCCCGAGTGGGCACCCCCACCCCTATCAGGGGCAGGGCAGCTGGCAAACCATCCACAGCCCCTTGCCCCAGCCGGCCCACCCCCGATGGCCCCCATTGGGGCTGGACTCCACCAGTGCATGAATTCGTGCACCGAGCCTCTCGTAAGTACAATAACAAGGCCGCGGTTGTGTTTGGGTTGTGCTTTAGGTTATGAGATTGTTCATTTTATCCACAGGAGCTGGTTTCAAAGCACCAACCCAGGGAGACCCACCGAGGAAGCTGCTGCCTCAGAGACCCGAAGGCAGAGGAGCTGCTGAGGCTGGGAACAGGGGGCCGGAACAAGAGGGAAGGAAGAGGAAAACAATGCCACACAAAGACAAACCCCGCACGCCCCCATGGTAAGTGACTTCCTTGTTCACACTCTCAGTCATCCACGCTTGTCATGTTTTAGAGCTTTGAGCTACAGGAAAAGGAGTTCACAAAACTTGAGTCTACACAGAACAGAGGGTACTGGCCTGCATTTTAAAGAGAGGGAGACAGACCACGGACACAGCTGAGCAATCGCTCGCCTTCCTGGACGGAGGGTCAGGCGCTGAGGGAGAGTGAGTGGACGGAAGATCGTGTGCAGACAAACACAGTCAGAATGAACGGAGACCTCGCATTTCACAGTCCCACAGCCCAGCTAACAGGTAGTTGTGTGCGTGTTTTTTATATCCTCACCCGAGGATTCGCTTTTTGGTTCTAGAGAGAAGGGCAGAGAGAGACAAACACTGATGTGAGAGAGACAGGACCTGCTGCCTTCCACGCGTGCCCTGACCGGGAATCGAACCCGCAGCCTTTCAGCGTACGGGACGATGCTCCAACCAACGGAGCCACACGGGCAGGGCCCTGCTCACCAGTCTTGTCGCCCAGAAGGGCCGGCAGCTACTTCAGAGCGGAGACAACATTTTTGCACGGGATAAACCCGGGTCCAAGAGATTGCCTCCTGGTTTAAAAAGCAATAATAAAAAACAACAGTTAATTCGTCTCCTAAAGAAAGATTTCTATTTCTGATTTATTTCCCTCCTGCAGGCGGCGCGGGGAGGGGAGGTCACAACACTGCCGCCCACCATGGTTCCTGGAGACCCAGGGTCCCCGAAGGAAACCGGGGCTCAGAGAAGCTGATTAGCGTGCGAGGCATCCCGAAGCTAGTGTGTGTCAGAACGCAAACTCGGCTTAAAAAACAAAACCCACAAAAGAACAAATTCAGGCTCCAGTGTCCCCTCCATTTCAGCCCCAGAATGTCTCCTGGACAAGGCGGAGCTCGCGGGGCCAGAGGTTAAGTAGATGCCGCTGGGAGCCCGTGCCCTGGGGACACAGGTGCGGCTGGACTTGGCCATGTGACTGCCAGCTCTGTCCGCCCCTGAGGCCTGTGTGCCCTGCTGTGACTGTCAGCCCGCTTTCCACCCCCAGCACAGAGTCTGCAGGGTGCCCACCCTGTGCCCGCGGGTAGAGAAAGAGAGTTCGGGTTTGGGGATCAGACACCCTGGGGTTCAGATCCCAGCTCCTCCACTAACCTGCTCCGTGACCTCGTGACCTCGGCCAGGTGACCTGGGGCGGGGTCTCAGCCCTGACGCCTCCTCTCAGTTCCCGTGGGGACCTCGCAAGGCGGTCGCCTCTCTCCGCTCGGCCCAGCCTTTGGGTTGATGCCCGCTCTGTGCAGAGACCCAGCGTTCGCATCGCATCCTGACAAGGCCACCGCGGCTGCAGGGAACGACCCACTTGCAGCCCACGGCGTCCTTCCGGGTCGTCCAGATGCATCCAATGAAGAGCCATTTGAAACCACAGCCCAGGAGCCCGAGGGGCGAGGCGGGGCGCCCCATGCACGCATGCGCAGGACGCTGCCTTCTGCAGGGCTGCTGAGCGCCAGGTGCACAAAGGAGCGCCGCCGCCAATCGGATCTCACCACCCACCTGGGCAGGTGCGCGCCGAACCGGGCCAGCCAAGGAGCAGCCCTTCCAGGAAGACACAGTTCGAGGCCCGGGCCCTCTGTGCGCAGGCCGCTCTGAGGTCACCGCGCACTCAGCGCCCAGGCCTCCGCCTGTGCTGTGAGCGCCTTTGTTTCCAAGTGCGCTTCCCCCGAGGTCCGCAGGAAGGGGCGCGGAGTGAGTGCCATTCCCAGCGCACCTGTGGGTGCGGTTGCACTGGGCGGAGCTGTTTTGAACCAGGTACAGTGGGGCCTTAACTTACGAGTGTCCCGACTAACGAGTTTTTCGAGATACGAGCCATCTCTCAGCCGATTTTTTGCTTTGAGTTGCGAGCTAAAATTCGGGTTACAAGCCAGCTTCAGATACCCCACCGCTAGTTGGCGCAGCGAACGTCACAGTGAACGCCACAACATCAGCCCAGCATCACGTGTCTCACCCGTTCAGTTTTTGACATACGAGTAATTTGAGTTACGAGCTCCGTCACAGAACGAATTAAACTCGTAAGTCAAGGCCCCACTGTACTCCCAGCCCTTCCTTTGGTCCCGCCCGACACTGGGACACAGTGATGAATAGGAAATAGTAGCCGACCTTCCAGCTCATTCTCTCCATGGCCCGAGGCCCGACCATGTGCCCGGCTTCACCAGTGTTCTTATTCCTCACAACAGCCTCACCAGCTGGATGTCGCCTTGTGTTATAGCCGAGGAGTAGGAAGCTCAGAGGTCAAGTACTGAGCTGAAGGCCAGGCAACCTGCAAGGGCTGACGCCAAGCTTCAGGGTCAGGGTGTTTCACAGCGAGCCCCACATTGTGCAAGTGCTCGGAGCTGCCTTTCGGCCGCGGAGCCTGGGCCAAGTAGGTGGGAAGACAGAAAGCCCTCAATCTTGTCCAGGCCACGTGAGCCCACGTGCCGAGACTCAGGGGTGGGGAACCTTTTTTTCTGCCCAGGACCATTTGGATATTTACAACATCATTGTTGGGCCAGAGTTTAAATAGATGATGCCCTTTGTTATCAATTTAAAAATTGATACAAAAGTCTCAACTTAAAAAAATGAGCCTGCTCTATTTGGCCAGACATTTCATTAGCCCACTCCGGATGCCTTGGCAGGGCCAGACCAAAGGATTTCACGGGCCTCATACAGCCCGCCGGCCAGATGCTCCCCACCCCTGCCTAGTCAAGGCCGAGGGAGAGAGGCTGTAACCGAAGTCTGCGCAGGACGGTGGGAGACCAGAGCCTGTCTGCCAGCGGCTGGACACGTGTGCTCCTGGTTCCCTAGCTCCTTTGCAAATGGAAGGGATTAGTGTGGCCGGAGGGATGGGCACCCTTGCCGCCCTCTCTCTCCATGTCTATGGGGAGGGAGAGGAATGGCCGCCCTCAGTGAATTCAACCCCAGTCCTCCTGCAGCCAGGCTCTGCCCGGAGGGATGGTGCCACTGTCCCCTCCCCACCCGCTGCTGCTGGAGCCGAGAAGAAATCAATAATGGAGACGGACGTGTGCACGGGCAGGCTGGGCCCGGCGAGCGGAGGGATTGTTGCTTCCTCCATTTGGCTCTGGATGGTCCTGTCCTATGGGGGAAAATAGCTGTCCTTGGGAGAAATGCCAGTTATAGGTCTGCTAATAAAAGAACTGGCAGCTCACAGCCCTTGCCGATGAGGAAACTCCCACTGGAGAGGCCAAGCTCACTCTGGGCCAACAGACTGGAGCCCATCAGACCAACCGCACCCATCCCCCACCCCCTTCCCAGGCTTGTAAGATGGGGCACCACCCGGCTGGCTGAAGCCTGCACCCAGCTCTGAGAACAATCCGGCAGGAGCTGAGGACCCTGGAGGGACTGGTGAACTGACAGCAGCCATTGCCGCCTGCGGCTGCTGCTTCCTGAGAGCACCTGCTGGTTCTGAGGCAGCTGGACCGTGCGGAGACTCAAGGGATCTCACACCCATGGCTCCCCCAGGGCTTTGCACAAAGGGAAGCAGGTGGGGATGCTAACAGCAAAGCCAAAGCCCCCAAAGGCAGACAGAACCTCCTGCAGCCTCTCTGGGCTGAGACAACGACTTGCCCGGCTCTTGAGAGCCTCGCCATAGAAATAGGGCAGACAGGAGGCAAATAGACTGGTTCTTATTAGAATTGAAACCGAACGATGACTCAGCCACAGTTATTGGAGTTAAGCTGTTCAATACTTCACTCTACCTGCTCCGCAGAAGAGAGGGTTAACTCCACCTGGCTGGAAAGAAGACATTATCTGGAGCAGTGGTTCTCAACCTTCCTAACGCCGCAGCCCTTTCATACAGCTCCTCATGTTGTGGTGACCCCCAACCATAAAATTATTTTCGTTGCTACTTCATAACTGTAATTTTGCTACCGTTACGAATCGTAATGTAAATATCTGACATGCAGGATGTATTTTCATTGTTACAAATTGAACATACTTCAAGCATAGTGATTAATCACAAAAACAATATGTAATTATATGTGTTTTCCGATGGACTTAGGCAACCCCTGTGAAAGGGTCGTTCGACCCCCAAAGGGGTCACAACCCACAGGTTGAGAACCGCTCATCTAGAGCCTTTCCTGTACTTTTACCACAATATTTGCTATTTCTTTAAAAAATTACTCCAAAACAGACAGACTATGTACTAACTGAAAACCAAGAGAAAAAGCAGGCAACAGAAACAGACCTACTGCTAACCCAGAGTTTTCAGTGTGATCTGGTCCAAGTTTATCCAGGTATCAAAAATGTCCTTTAGTGTGCCGCGCCAGCACAGCCAAGGGTGATCCCGATGGGGGTGGTGAAAGGATTAAGCAAAGACAGACAAGAGAATGGAAGCTGGGTCTCGGTGGGACGGTGCTCCCTGATGAGGAGACAGAGCCCACAAGCCGTGTCTTTATTTTATAGCAGATACCACGAGGCACAGTAGGGGCGTGATCACGTTGTTTACAGCATTCTCGTGAGTTCCAGCCCCACTCAACTACATGCACCTGAGCTCTAGCACAAGGCACGTGGGGCCACATGTTCGGACCACAGGTTCAAGCTCACAGCTATAGCCGTTGGCTATAATTGTGCTGGGAAGGCTCTGCCCTCCAGCTGGGACTTGCACGTGGCCACGAGGACTGTGCCTTCTCATTAGTCCGAGGCTTGAACCTGTCCAAACACTGTAGCCTCGCCCCCTATATCCCCCTTTACTTTTGTTTTTAAACACGCCCATTTATATTATCCAAAAAACCAAACTACAAACATGGTAACGTTTTCAGGATATCTTAGAGTCCTTAGATTTAGCTCCGCAAGATTTTACAGAAAACTGACAGTTCACCAACGCTAGCATAGCTTCCACTTGCTTTTCTAACATCTGCTTGGCCTCAGTCGCCATCTTCTTCAGCTGAATCCATGCCGATATCTCGCCGATGCAAAGATGTCGTTGATGCAAAACTAGTCCCCTG